CAAGCATACATTGTTTGACCCAGTTAATTTTAAACACCTGGTTGAGAGTTGTGAAATCAATAGCATTAAAGCCTCCTTCAGCATGGTCCCTAATCATCGTTTTCCTTTTGATATATTCAGTCTTGTTTTTCCAAATAAATTTGAACAAGAGAGAGTCAATTGACGTTGCTGTTTTTTTGTCCACATATAACGATAAAGCCGGGTAAACCATTCTTGAGAATCCTTCCGCTTTTGAAAGCAATGTCCTTCCTTGTATAGTTAAGTCCCTTTGAAGCCATCTGTTAAAAATGTTTTTTGTTATCTGTAGCTTAGGGGTAAAGTTGTCATCCAGTCTTTCCTTCACTGATTTTTTAATTGTTATTCTGAGATATTTCACTGACTGCTTGACCTTAATTCCATTTCGCAGCATCTTATTCTCCGCAGTTATCGCTGATATTTTCTCCTCCGCCATGTCCAATCTGCCGTTTATCCCACTCACTTGATCTTTGATTTCTTTCACAGCGCTCTCAACAGACACCAATTTCTCTAGAAATGACTGTTGTGTTTCTCCAATTTTGTTGATTGCATCTAGAAGGGTGTTGTTAGAGATTGTTTCAGGTATTTCCACTCTTGTTGCTTTTTTTGCTGGACTGTTCACCGGTGTCTCTCCTGACTGTTTTCCAGGCTCGACGGTGGGATGTTTCACATAGTCGTGGATCCGTTTAATCCTTTCCCCCTCAGTTTCCATTGGCGTGGATTTCTGTAGCTTCTCCCTCGAATTTCCGACACTTGCCTTCATCTTTCTTTCCAAGAAATTAGCTCATCCACGATCACGTTCAGTTCGACTAAACTTCCAGTTCTCACCAATATAGTCACAAAATCACTTGGGAAGTAGATACTTATCTTTTTTTTTTAAAATCCGATTTAGCAAAACATTTATTAGAAAGTCTTTCAGCACCTACGAATTACATTTTGAGTAACCGAGTGCTAAAATTTTACACAAAAGAAAACGACGACACTCACAACACGACTTTCCTCGGCGCCATCTTGGACCGCCCTCCGAGCAAGTCGGACGTAACTCGGACACTTTTCTAACCGGCATGCATCTCGCGGTGATCGGTTCTGCGCAGATTTTGCTCATCTCAAACAAGCCTATTACATGTAGCCTAATTTGGTAGTAAAATGAAAAGTGTTGCATATTGTATTGTTACAGAGATGAATGTGTATTTCATAGAAACATTTCCAACTGCTTTTTATTATCAATTATAAGCACTACAATTAATAAATTATATAATCTGTTAGATAGGATCTACTGAACAAACTTTTATAAGTGTATTGTTGGGGGGGGGGGGGAGTGTTAAAACCTTACTTGCGATTATACAACACTACAAATTTGTCCCATCAGGTAAGCAAAAGTTCTACACACACTTATCGTTTTGACGCCTACTTGAACATTTGGGCCAAACAACGGAAATATGTCAGTGTATTGTGAGTGGGTCAAACGCAAAGGTCGCAAGTTTTAGGGCAGGCTGTGTATCTGTAGAATGCTAATCCTAGTCGATTTCGAACCACTAGGGGCGTTTTTCAACCAATTTACCCAATAGGCCCTTTTCACAGTGACGTCAGCTAACTTCCGCTTTCCCGCAAAGCAGTGTATCTGTACTTCCGTTATACCTTTACACCGGAGACTTCTCGGGAAAATGTAGGGAAAACTTGAAATATGAAAGGCGTTATTTAAGAGTTAAGACTAATAATGTTAATGTACTTACAGTCGGGTTCTTTTGTGAAAGTTTTTCTGCATCTGCTTTAGATGGGCGGCTTGCTTGCCGCAACTGCTTGCTTTCAGATTTGTATGACAACGATTATGTGTTCACACAAAATACATACTTGAAACCTTTTCACTTGTTATTTCGGTTTATGTCATTCCTTGCATAATTTGTGAGTACACCGTGTAAATTAAATTCCCCCTATAGTTGGGCAATAAAAAGACAAACAACGTGATTTTGTTTTTATTTACTATGGGGAAATGACATGGACACAAGTCATCGCACGACACTGACAAGATACGCGATACAGTACGAGACCAATCGCATTTTCAGCAGGTCTCCACATAGTAAACAAAACAAGCGTTTCCTAGCAACGATAACTGCGCTAAACACTGAGACAAGAAATAAATACACTTACAAGCTGCTTTTAACTTCTGCTGATTGACTGCTTCTCACAAAGAGTATTTCTTTACACTGTTTTGCTGGCGCTTGAACACACTTTCCTGTTTATCACAACAAATGGCCAAGCAAAGCGCACAACACTGACAAGGTACGCGATACAGTACGAGACCAAACGCGATTTTTGCTCTAACCCACTGAGGGTTAATTTTAGAGGTGGACGGACACTAATTTGTCGCAACTCATGTAGGCCTATCGGTTGAAAAACGCCTTTTTGAGAAATGCCCTTTTCGTTCTGCAGACATCCTAACAGCACACGGGGCGGAGCCCTCTCCAGACAACACCCCACCCGACATACAGCAACGACAACACCAAATCAATGCAGCGCACTATTAAACGCATTCTTATTGAACATTTTCAAGATAACTACATCTTTTAGAACATCAAGTGAATATTTTGAACGCGCAGCCTACATATACAGTGGAAGCTGTCGAACCAACGAAGAGGACAACTGAATTACGCCGAAAGGACATCGTTAATAAAAGTAAAATAATACAATTATACTTAGTGACTTGAAAGAAGGTTGCATAAAGTAGGCTATAATACTGACAATTGTTGTTTTGGTGTTTCTAGCAGTGTAATCAGTCATGGAGAGTCTCTCTCGTTCTAACAGTCTCTTCGCTCTGGATCTCTATCGGACTCTGAGCGAGAGCAACGCTGAGGGAAACATGTTCTTTTCCCCACTGAGCATCAGCGCAGCGCTCAGCATGGTCTACTTGGGAGCTCGAGGAGACACTGCCAAAGAAATGGAAAAGGTATGATGAATAAATACGTTACCATTGGCGCTATTCATTTTAGTCTAGTTTCAGTTTTTAGTACATTAATTAACGAACTTAATTTAATCAGATATGTGAGATCTATCCATCTGTCTTTCTCTTTGTAGGTTTTGTCCTTCAGTTCTGTGTCTGATGTTCACTCTCATTTTGAGACCCTCACCTCAACTATCAACAGACCATCAGCCTCCTACATCCTCAAATTGGCCAACCGCCTCTATGGAGAGAAAACCTTCAGCTTCTTACCTGTGAGTTTATTCTGCCTTCAGTAATGATTCATTTTGATGCTGTCTGTGTGATCTGAGACACCATCTTTATTTTGTGCTGCAGGAGTATTTGGACTCCACTCTGAAGCTGTACCAGGCGGACCTTCAGGCTGTGGACTTCATTGGAGCATCTGACGAGTCACGACAGCTCATTAACAAATGGGTGGAAGAGCAGACAGAGAGTGAGAATATCAGCACCATCAGCTCCTCAACAAATAAAAACCAATTAGATTTGAAAGAATAATTTTGGACTTGATACATGTATGCATATTTTATCTTTTTAAAAAAAAAAACATATATAAAATGAGCAGCAACACTTGTGTTTTTCAGATAAAATCAAAGTTCTTCTCAAGCCGGGAATGGTGACTGGAATGACTCGACTAGTTCTGGTTAATGCCATCTACTTCAAAGGGAACTGGATGCACACATTTAAAGCAAGAGAAACTAAAGAAATGCCATTTAAAATAAACCAGGTACTTTCCACCTTTTGTTTTAGGAGTGGAACAGCATAAGCAAATTGGAATTCACTTTTAAAACCTTTTGCAATTGATAGTGCTTACCCACTGTTGCAAGAGTTACTTGTAACTCTTCCAACACCCACACATGCATTAACCAATTTTATATGTGTTATGCATATTTTGATTAAATGAAATTTGTCTTCATTCAGAATGAGCACCGGCCTGTGCAAATGATGTATCAGAATAAAAAGTTCCCCTTCAGATACATCCCAGAGTATGAACTGCAGGTGCTGGAGTTACCATATAAACAGGAGGAGCTCAGCATGTTGATCCTTCTTCCAAACGAAACCGGCTCTGACCCTCTTCTGAAAGTGAGCAAAATTGCCTTTATTAATCTTTTTCTGATCGTTTTGATCCTGTGGAATAGGTCTGGTTTTGTGTATGTTATTTTTCAGTGTGTGTGTGTGTGTGTTAAACAGCTGGAGAGCGAGTTGACACTTGACAAGCTGCTTGACTGGACTGAAAGAGACAAAATGGCCACATGGATGGATATCAGAGTCAATTTGCCAAAGTTCAAGCTGGAGGTTGAGAGCTCCCTATCAGAAGTATTGCAAGAGATGGGTATGAGCTCTGTGTTCCAGGAAACAAAGGCTGATCTGACAGGCATGAGCAGTCAGGGTGGTCTCTCCATTTCAGCAGTGATCCACAAAGCATTTATTGAGGTGAATGAGGAAGGCACAGAGGCAGCAGCAGCCACTGCAGTCTGTTTGCGTGCCTGTGCGTCCCTTCGACTAGAGTTTCAGAATTTCACAGCAGATCATCCCTTCATGTTCTTCATCAGGCACAACCCCACTAACAGCATCCTCTTCCTTGGCAGATTCAGAGGTCCATCCTAGAAATGTGTTACACCCAAATGAAGAATTGTGTTTTTGTCTGAATATTATATCAAATAAATAAACTAAACAATATATACGTTTGTTCTTGTCTTCACACATGGCATTAGGAAAGTCAGGGAATCTACCTTTAACCACATCAGTGTTTTGAAAATGATCTTTGAATAGTATGTTTGTCTTAGGTAGTTGTGGATTTTAAACAACAAAAAAAAGGTAAAACAGCACACAAGTAGTGCACAAAATGTGTTGTGTTTTTCCCGTTTAAATTTTAAATAAAAGCATAACTACCTTTCAAAATTAAAAAAAAAAAAAGACATGTTTTTAAGACTAAGATTCATCAATAAATGATGAGATGGGTTATGACAAAGGATTTGTTTACACTGCTCGCACCAGAGAACTTGAAAATGCGGAAACACAGGGCGGGGCTTCCTCAACAATATACAGCAAGAGCGTCATTACAACATTAAACATTGTGCTATTTTTATCCAAGGTTTTTATGATAACATCTTTTAAAAATGCAGTGAACATTTTAAACACGTTACAATACTTCATAAACGTGTGCAGTTGGGCACAGCAGTGAACCGGCCTGAGCTGTCGAACCAAAGAACAGGACAAACGAATCACTGCGAGAGGACATTCTTAAGAAACGTAAAATGCTACATTTACAATCGTGGCGCCTAACAGTGTTTTGCAAGATGGTTGCATAAACTTTTAATCGCAGCTGGTTTGGTGGTTTTTATTTGCAGCAGTGTAATCAGTCATGGAGGGTCTCTCTCGTGCTAACAGTCTCTTCGCTCTGGATCTCTATCGGACTCTGAGCGAGAGCAACGCTGAGGGAAACATGTTCTTTTCCCCACTGAGCATCAGCGCAGCGCTCAGCATGGTCTACTTGGGAGCTCGAGGAGACACTGCCAAAGAAATGGAAAAGGTATGAGGAACTGATAAGTTGTCAATCTGACACATCATTTGTACTAATCATTTCAGTCTGAAGTTTCTGTGTAATTCATACCACTGCATGTTTACTGATATTTAACAATGATGATGCAAAAACTAAGTAGGCTACTAGTTGTGTGTAGCGCCCCCTATACCCTCCTAGGATTTACCTATCCCCAGTACTGTTCAATAGTATCCAGCTGCAGACCCGCAGCCACAGAACCGGAAGTGAGGAGCGGAGCTTACATTTTTTTTAACAGAGTAGCGCCACCTTACGGTTTTTAAGGGGTAATTTGCTTTTATTACACACGATACGTCATACTTTATGTATGCATTTTATAATGACATATTAAGCATTTTATACATCTTGTGTAATTTAGTTGTAGACCTATACAGTTATTCGTTTCATTGTATTATGCGAATAATTTCCTGTTTGTGATATTAAAAGTAATATTAACACACAAACAATGCATATAACAGAGGGAATTAAAGCAAACTATTTATTTTTATGAATAAACGTCTTCAAAACTTCACCACATGGCCCATTTACAGGATGCATCCGAAAATTAATCGAAACATCCACAGAAAAAAAAAAGTTATAGCCTATACTATAAAGTATGACAACAAATTCAAGTTTCAATATAAGATAATAAAGCCAAGCACACATTAAGTACTTAGCAGATAAATGCGTAACGTAATATATACGATAATTATTAAACCTATGATAGCAAAAACATCAGACTACTCACCGTGCGCTCTCGTTGTCAATAACTCCGCCCCTCACTTCCGGTTCTGAAACTGCTGGTCTGCAGCTGGATATATCTCGTACTGTTAGGGTGGAGCACCGGGTTCTGGTAATATCTCTCTACAAAATATTCAATTTATTGCTTCCCCAACAAACACAGAACGTTCCCCAAACGTCCCCATTTGGTTATTTTTTTGGGAACCAAATAAGAACGTTCTGGGAACGTTCCCTGTAAGTTATTTTTTTAATAACCTAAAGGGAACGTTCCTAGAACGTTCCCTGCAGGTTATTTTTAGGTTTAATTTTTATAACCTAAAGAGAACCTTCCCAGAACGTTCCCTGCAGGGTTATTTTTAGGTTTTATTTGTATAACCTAAAAGGGAACGTTCCCTGTAAGTTATTTTAAAAAAATTCATAACCTAGAGAGAACGTTCCCTGCAGGTTCTTTAGGTGTCATAACCATGTAAACTAATTAAAACTTTGCAGATGTTTCTGATTATTCTAATGCTACAACTCAAGATATTCATACCTCCACAGACAACTGCCTTGTTGAAGTGGATTTGAAGATGACTTATTAATTTGACCAGTTTGGCTGGCTTAAACATGCTGGTCAAGCAGAAAATTGCTGGTAATTGCTGTAACACTTGTTGCACTGCTGCAGCTCAGGTAATGTGTCAACTCTCTGAATCCTTATGTCTCTACAAGAGATGAGGCCACACAATTATCTCAATGATGACAAAATGGGATTAAAATAACTAAACTACAAGGTAATATTAACACACAAACAATGCATATAACAGAGGGAATTAAAGCAAACTATTTATTTTTATGAATAAACGTCTTCAAAACTTCACCACATGGCCCATTTACAGGATGCATCCGAAAATTAATCGAAACATCCACAGAAAAAAAAAAGTTATAGCCTATACTATAAAGTATGACAACAAATTCAAGTTTCAATATAAGATAATAAAGCCAAGCACACATTAAGTACTTAGCAGATAAATGCGTAACGTAATATATACGATAATTATTAAACCTATGATAGCAAAAACATCAGACTACTCACCGTGCTCTCTCGTTGTCAATAACTCCGCCCCTCACTTCCGGTTCTGAAACTGCTGGTCTGCAGCTGGATATATCTCGTACTGTTAGGGTGGAGCACCGGGTTCTGGTAATATCTCTCTACAAAATATTCAATTTATTGCTTCCCCAACAAACACAGAACGTTCCCCAAACGTCCCCATTTGGTTATTTTTTTGGGAACCAAATAAGAACGTTCTGGGAACGTTCCCTGTAAGTCATTTTTTTAAGAACCCAAAGGAACGCTCCCTGCAGGTTATTTTTAGGTTTAATTTTTATAACCTAAAGAGAACCTTCCCAGAACGTTCCCTGCAGGGTTATTTTTAGGTTTTATTTGTATAACCTAAAAGGGAACGTTCCCTGTAAGTTATTTTAAAAAAATTCATAACCTAGAGAGAACGTTCCCTGCAGGTTCTTTAGGTGTCATAACCATGTAAACTAATTAAAACTTTGCAGATGTTTCTGATTATTCTAATGCTAAAATTTGTATTTTTTAATCATAAACAAACTATTTTTGCAGAATTTCATGTCTGAAATAAGCTTTTAATAAAGTGAAGACATCAAAGTAGTCAAATCGCATTATAATTATAATATAATTACAACTTTATAGCTGAAATTAAGCCAAGGTTAAGTGTAGTCTGAAAAGCATAGCATAAACACTGAGTTTGTTTGTATATTTCTTTACTGCGCACCTCTTCTCCAGCACGCGCTGTTCTCCTGTCTTCCACATAAAGCCGCGCACACGCATAATTTAAAAATTAACGGTCATTTCGTTTTACTGACTGATTAGCATTCGTTTGTTGATCTCTTTATTGAATAAATACTTAATATATACGAGTGTAAATATTGTGATTTCAGAGAGATTTGACACGTCTAATTGAAGAGAACATGTTAACCGAGAGTTTTTTTTTTACTGACCAAAAGAGAGAAGCACATCATCGTTAGTTCAGTGGTAAGAAATGAATGTAATGTTATCCTACTTAAAGTCAAATAAATGTTATTCATTTTTAAATGTCTGGAAAAATAACATTTACATTTTTAAAACCAAATATTTTTTTGAAGTCATTGTTATTTGGTGCTTAAGAGGCGTAAAATCTGGGTTATTATATTGTACATGGTAACGTTAGTTATAATAAAGAACGGATAATTCAATCTCATTTAATGCTCTTTATGATGGTTAAATGTGCTCCGATTATCTTTAATGATTAAACAATAGTTTAAAACAAGACATGGTTTGTAGTACACGGGCGATTCTATGATTTTCATTTTAGGGGGGCTCAGCCCCCAATGAGGGTAATAATAAAAAATCATTTTTGCTGGAGGAAACCGCTGTAGTGTGATGAGGAAACGCAGCGAATTTTTACAGTAGATGGGGAACCGATTGCTCCCCCATGATATTTTGTAAACTGTATTTATGACAAAGAACTGTACAGTTGCAGATATTATAACAATCTATCGATAAACACACACATTGTCCTCTGTTTCTCGCTCTGCGCCGCCGCGGTCAGCTTATTGAAGAACGCGCTGAAAGACGGGGAGCCGAAGTCTGCAGCTGTTTTCATATGAAATTTAAAGGGGACTGAAGCGATCACGAATTCATGTACAGTTTATGGAACTGATCGCAAAATTTTTAGGGGGGCCGAGTAGTCATTGGCCTAGCAATGCCCATGGTAGTACAGATTGAGGATATGCGTCCGTCTTCCATGCCGGTTACTAGACGCGGGGGCGCTGGAATATTAGTGTTGGGTCGTTCTTGAACGATTCGTTCATTCACTCTAAAAAATGCTGGGTTGTTTTAACCCAGTGTTGGGTCAAATATGGACTAACCCAACTGTTGGGTTAAATTTTGGTTACATTTTTAAATTAGCTTTTTAACCCAACAGTTGGGTTAGTCCATATTTGACCCAACATTGGGTTGAAACAACCCAGCATTTTTTAGAGTGTTTTGAACGAATCTTTAATGTGACTCGGGAAGAACGAGTCGTCTCGGGGAGTGATTTGTTCAGTCGCGCATGGGCAACATCCTATAGGTTCTGTACTGGAATTAGTCAAGTAGTTCACCCGTTTCGAGTCTTCGGGTTTTCCGAGTCGTTCGTCATCACGTGACAGCCCCATAAGCTTAACCAATGCAGTCTGAGCCGGAAAGAGACTTAATAATAATAATCACCAACTCTTTATTACCTTTGTTACAACATTCAGTGTTATGGAAAAGAACCATCATGACAGAAATTCACACAGTTATAAACTAAGTAGTAAAAAGCTACAATTTGAGACCAGAAACGCATCACGTAACTGTAAGAGTAAATAATTATAATAACGATAATAATAATAATAATAATAATAACTATGCACCCGTTTGTAAGGAAGCTTGTAAATTAACTAATTTCTCTATCCAATGCTGTCACGTCACGTGACAAAAGAACGAAGGAACGTTCCCCTAACCTAAAGGGAACGTTCTATTTACGGTAAGAAAACTTTCCTGGCTAACCAACAGGGAACGTTCTTGGGAACGTTCCGGGAACCAAAAATTGTTAGTATTAACTTTACTTTTGAGCTAAGCTATGGTTTATCTGCGTGTTACAGGTAGAGATGTAACGGTATGAAAATTTGTGACCAAAATGATCACAGTTATCAGTATTGTCACGGTATTGGTAAAATGTGCTGGAAATGTTCAAAAAGTTTTATATTTAAAATCAACAACAAATAAAATGACTTTGTTTGCATAAACACTAAAACAGTAACATTACCAATGATGTCCGGATTTTAAATGACAACATGACTGACAAGTTTATCTAATAACATGCATGAAATGTTCAAATAAAACTTTGAAAAGGTTTCATAAAATGGTAAAGCTCACATTTCAGCCTGTAAATCAAAAATGATAGCTGATCTGCTCCATAAATAATTCTTGATACCTTATCCGAATTGTTTCAATTGTTATTTAGGTATTACATGGAGCAAAGATGAAAACAAAATGCCATCTATTATTTTCTGAAGACAATCAGAACCTTCAGAGGTACATTCATATAATTAATTAATACATTAATTTTTATAATTCCCTTAGCACTCTTTTAAACTAAAACTCTTTTCACATAAAACGAAGCTACTCTGCATGCTGTACGTGCGCACACGTGAGACTGTTACTTAAAATTCTGCTTTATGCTGGACATTATTTATCCTCAGTTGTTCAAATCGCGGTAATCGAATACGGTTTTAATGATAATTAAAATATGACAATAATACTAACTGGGGAATTTTATCATGATTTATCGTCAAACCGGTAATCGTTCCATCCATCCCTAGTACCAGGAAGGGATGGATGCGGTCAATGGACCTACAATAAAGGGATGTCACCACCCCAGGTAAGTATACCCTTTGTTTTAGGTGTAAACTGTAATGTAATACAGTAAGTGAACTCACCAAGACGCAAGTATAGGTAAGTATCAAAATGAGATGTGTATTAATTCATATACTTATCTGTATAAATAGAGCAATAAATAGAGAAATATGTAAATAGATGTCAATAAATAAATATTCACAGTTTATGACAGGGTCACATGGATTAATAAACATCCAATAAAAACAGCGGTTCACCTTCAGGTATCTTTGTGTGACTTATTTCAAATATTGAGCAAGATCAGTATCAAATGTCAGTCAGTAACATGTATCACAGACTAATTAATAGAGCAAATAAGAAACATACATGGCTTACTTAAGCAGTCAGATTTCAAACACCTCTAAAAGTAATAATTTACACACGCACTCGTGCTCAGGTGCGTTGTGGCCAAATCAGAACACAACACTGGCCTCGTCATTCTATAGAGCCATAAAAAGTAATACAAGGTACCTCAATCTTATCTTGAATGCAATCAAACATTATGTGCTGTCCACTTTGGTTCTCACTCCATCCGCTGGCAGCAAATGCTTCCAAACTGCTGTCCTCTCTCCCAAGGTGCCAGAGGAACTCCAAATCACAGGGATTCAGAGGATCAACTCCAACCCTGATTAAACACACCTGTCTGTAATTATCAAGTGCTCCTTCAGATCCTAATTAGTTGGTTTAATTGCGTTTGATCAGGGTTGGGCACCCCTGCTTTAAATAAATTTTACTCCTTTAAATCTTTTGGGAGTATTTTCAGAGCCAAATATAATTTGCGATTAATTAATCGACACATCATGTAATTAATTAGATTAAAAATGTTAATTGACTGACAGCCCTAATACAAACACAAACCAGTGTATGTATCCTATTGAAACAGGTATATAAAGATTTATAACAAATATTCAGTAACCCAGATTTACCCTGGGCTACATGTGCATTAAGTGATTCTTGGTGGTTCATTGTAGATTAATGCAATGCTTTTTAATAAGTTTAAGTACAGTACAAGAAATGGTAATATTATATATTAATACTTTACAATTAAAATAACTTTTTTTTCTTCACTTTACAGCAGGGGTGCCCAATCCTATTCCACCTGCAGAGCTCAGTTTCAACCCTGATCAAAAACACCTGTCTGTAATTATCAAGTGCTGCTGAAGATTGAAAGTAGTTGGTTCAGTTGTGTTTTATCAAGGTTGGAACAGGATTGGGGACCCCTGCTTTACAGTATTATAGTACAGTAGTATTTATAATTTATTTATTTTATATATGGTAATGAGATTTGTGCATGGAGGATAACCTTAATTTTCATGAAATTCAACTCATAATATATCATAATGGCAAAAATGTTTATGGTTCTAAAAAATGAGTGTTGTGTTTTATTGTGGGGGTGAAGGTTTGGTGGTTTCAAGAGGTTTTGTGAGATTTACTTATCTGTTTTTCTCTTTGTAGGTTTTGTCCTTCAGTTCTGTGTCTGATGTTCACTCTCATTTTGAGACCCTCACCTCAACTATCAACAGTCCATCAGCCTCCTACATCCTCAAACTGGCCAACCGCCTCTATGGAGAGAAAACCTTCGGCTTCTTACCTGTGAGTCCGTTAAAAATTAGCCTTTAAAAAGCCTTAGACTTTCTGATGCTCATCATGAGCTTTGCTAAATCCATGCTTTGCTTGCTTATCTGTGAAAAGAACATGTATGCATGTGAAATGCACTGAATGTATCTTAAATCTATTTATGTATTTATTTATTCGTATGAGACACTGCCTCTATTTTGTGCTGCAGGAGTATTTGGACTCCACTCTGAAGCTGTATCACGCTGAACTTCAGGCTGTGGACTTCATTGGAGCATCTGACGAGTCACGACAGCTCATTAACAAATGGGTGGAAGAGCAGACAGAGAGTGAGAAGTTATTATATCAGAATGTGAAGGTGAAATTTTGTGGATAAAAGGTTTAGAAACCGGGATGGGTAACTGCTCCTGGAGGGCCACTGTCCCACACATTTTAGTTCTAACCCTAGTCGAACACATCTGAACAATCTAATAAAAGTTTAAAGAATTACTTGAAAATAACAGGCAGGTGTATTGGGTTTTTCAATCAAAACTGTTCAACCCCCTGGCCACTGTAATAATTTACAAATGTAAGCTTTTCTAAATATCCAGAGATTTTTAAAAATTGCTATAACAGTTTAGTGGCAAATTAAAAGCGATAATGTAGTATTTTAGAGTAATGGGATTATTTTGTAATAATTAACACATATTCAACACTGCTGTTTGATCAGAGCAACTGAGAAAAAGAAGTCTTGCTATATGTAGGATATCATGATTTATTTGAAGTATCAGACCATTTTGGCAAAATTGTGCTACCTTCGATACAGAGACTGAAGCTTGATGATCAATGGACTTTTCAGCAGGACAGCCAACCCCAAAGTATACATCCGATTCTGGTAAAAGCTTGGTTCGGGGATCAGTCATAGAATGGTTTTGAGTGTCCTTATCAGTCTTCAGATTTAATTATTATTGAAAGTAGTTGATGGAATTTGAAGAAAACAGTGGCAACGTGAAAACCAAAGATTATCAGTTGACTACGTTTACATGGACATCAGTAATCTAATAATTTACCTTATTCTAAATAAAACAATATTATGATAATGGTGTTTACATGAGTTGCTTTTAGAATATTCCTTTCATGTTCCCGTTTTACATGTTATAGTACATAGATCGATTAATGGCACACGTCATTATGTCCCCACTGTGACGCCATCCGACGTCCACTCTGGAATTTCACGTATAAACATATAGTTCGTCTTCGTGATGATGCCATGTACAGTTTTGGGTGTTTCATTTTTAATTTTATGAAAGCTTCAAGTGCAATTAATTATTTGTACGTGCATACATCCGATCGTGGTGTTGAAGCTCTTTTATTTGGCGTCAATCGGTTGACCTCTGCCGTGTGTGTATCCTGTCGCAAAATGCGGCGAAAAGTCCTACACATTGTGTTTACATGCACTTCAGTAATGCGACTAAAATAGGAATACTCCACATGTCTTAATTTGATTTCTGTTTACTTCGAATATGACTTTAGCCGGAATAAGGCAATCAAAAATCTGTTTACATGGTAGATTCTTAATCAGAGTATTGTGTTAATCGGATTATTGTTGTCCATGTAAACGTACCGATCTGGAAGCTTTTTTCAAGTAAGGAATGGGTCAAGATTGCAGTAGAGAGGTGGCAGAAGCTTCTAAGGACTTACAGATAGCGTGAATGTTTAAAGCAAACAAGTTTTTTTTTTTTTTTTTTCCACTTTTCATCTG